AAATAAAAGGTGAGAAGTGTATTCCATACAGCAGATTTTCTCATGAATAACCTAGACCTAAAGCTGGGTTGAATTTTCTGATAATTTTATTTTCACTGATAACTCTGTATGACAGGGATGTGTTTATGTGGTGCATTGCCTCACTATAAGCCTCCTACCATCCCCTTCCACCCTCTGGCCAATGATGGAGAAAGTACCTACACTGTCATGGGGAGACCCAGGGTAGCCATGTGCTATGGATTTGCCCCATGGGAGGAAGCAGCTGCTTTTATTTTAAAAGTGGTCTAGTGAGTCATTGTACATGGTCCAATAAAGTTGAACAACTTATACTTCCTAGGGTTTTCTAAAAAATACTCACACCCTCCCTGAAGATCTCTTGTTATGAAGTAGCTTGGCCTCATTCATTTAACAAATAACAAATATTTCTCATGTGCCTGTAATTCTGTTTCAGTGATACATGCGCTTCACCTTATGTGTGCTTTCAGAATGAATAAAAAGAATGGTTTTGAAATTACTAATTTTGTTATTTATTCACTCATACACACAATGGTTTTTATTACAAGACTTCCAAACACATATATAGTATAACTTGCACTTTCATATTCACCCCCTCTATTACACTTTCTCACCCATTTTTCCACTTTCACATTCCTGTTGGACCCCTTTATACTTTCATATCCTCCTCTCCCCCAAACACATAATCTGAAAGAAAACATGTAACAATTGTCTCTGTGAATCTGGCTTATTTTGCTTAACATGATGATCACCATTTCCATCAATTTTCATGCCAAGGATATAATTTCTTTGTTCTCTGTGGCATTGTGAAACCTCATCGTGTGTGTGTGTGTGTGTGTGTGTGTGTGTGTGTGTGTGAGTGTGTATATATGTATATATATAATGTTTCATTTATACTTTCATCCATCAGTGAGAAAGTAGACACACTCACTATGTTAGCTAATGTGAATAGTGGTATAATGAACACGGGAATGAAAGTTTTCTCTATAATGAGTTGACTTTGATTTTTTTGATTGTATGCCCAGTCTTGAAATAGCTGGATGAAATGACAGCTCAGGTTTCACTTTTATGTTCAGAAAATTTCATAATGATTTTCATAGTGGTTGTCACAATTAACATTCCCATCAGCAGTGAATAAATTCCTTTTTCCCTAGCCCTCACCAGCATATATTGTTGTTCTGCTTTATTGTATTTTTGTATTGTTTGTTTTGTTTTGGTGGTAGTGGGGATTGTCCTCATGGCCTCACCCTTGCTAGGCAGGCATGCTACAACTTGAGTCACTCCATCAGCATTTTTTGCATGGCTATTTTGAGCAAAGTTCTTGCCCAGGTTGGCCTCACCTGAGATCCTCCTATTTGGCCTTCCTGCAGTAGTTGGGATAACAGGCACATGCCAGGGAGGCCAGACATTGGTTGAGAAGGGTTTTTGTGAAGGTTTTGGCCTGACTGCCTTAAGCTGCTATCTTCCCAATTTCTGCCTCCCAAATAGCTAGGATGACAGAGTAACTTCTCCTTCTCTGGTTTGTTTTTTGTGTTCTTCATGATAGTCATTTCAACTTAGACAAGATATAATTGAACTGCAGTTTTGACATGTATTTCCCTGATGGCTAATGATGTTGAACGTTTTCTCATATATTTATTGTCCACTTGTATTTCTTCATTTCAAGAGATCTGTCTAGTTCATTTTCTTCTTTAGTCATTCGATTATTTCTGTTTAATTTTTGAGGTCTTTGTGTATTGGGGTAGTAATCTTCTGTCAGATGAATAGTTGCCAACAACTTTCTCCAATCTGAAGGCTGTTTCTTCACTCTGTTGATTATTCCTTTCCCAGTGCAGAAAACTTTTTAATTTAATACAATTTTTTCATCAATGTTTACTAATATTTCCTGATGTTTTGGTGTCCTGTTTAGAAATCCTTGCCTATGCCTACATCATAAAATGTTTCATCTAATTTTATTTATTAGTTTCAAATCCTTTATTGGATGATGTGATTTCGGGAATGCAGGAGAAAAGGGAATGAAGGAAAACTGTTTCCCCATCAGGAAATAATAGATAAGAAGTGTATAGTAGGAAATATCCAAAGTACATGTCCTTATCTGGAAATACCATGTTAATGAATCTTGTTTTTCATCAATACATTTCAATGTAAAAATGACCCTAAAATTGTAAGTATTATTAAACTAAAAAGTGTCAGTCAGGCTATCCCCAACACATAAAAATTGTTACAAAAGTTCATCTTCATGAAACATAAGGTATGTTTAACATGGTCTTTGAACAAGCTTTTTCACCTTACTTCTCCTCACATTATGTGCTTAATAAATTATATGGAGCATGAAATTACTGAATTTCATAAGATTCAATTTTTTAAAATTTATATTCTGATTTTAAATGATTATCTAGTTAGATAACCTCAGAAAGAGGCCCTAGTTTTGTCTATTTTGTCTGAAGAGAAGATTCCCTTTAGCATCAGAGATTCTTTTCTTAGATCCTGGATTGTTTCTCAAGAAATGCTGTAGATTTATTTTTGTTGATCCTGACTTTGTTGGTGCAGAGATGCTTGCCTTTTATAAAACATTGTACTATAGAAGATCAGTTAGTGTCATCACAAGAGGATAATGGGACTGAAAATCAATGACCTGTGTTCATTGAGGTGAAGTAGCTGTAGGATTGAGTATATGATACATTACAGGATAAGGATATAGCACCCCAGGTGGAAAAGTGAAAAGGAAAATCCAAGTCAGGGAAACAAGTGTGAGTGCATTCATGGATCTCAATAACTGGATTTCTTTCCTGATGGAGCTGCTTCACAGCTGACTCAGAGTCAGACTCATCCTCATCCCAGTTGAGTGAATGATTGATATTGCTGTGGCCAGAAACCATGTGGAGGAGAATATCAGATCTGCTCTGGATATAAACTGAGGAAAATTTTTTTCTATTTTCTTTCTTTTGGGATATTGAATTTCAGATTAATGTGCCCAGGAGGAGAGGTGGTGTTGCTTGTTCTGTGGTGGGCTTGTCTTTGAGAAGCTATACTCAAATAAAACTCAGAGAGTGATTCTCCACTTGCCTTTGGAGAGGTTAATTACTATGGTTTCAGTGAGTGAAGATACAGACTGTTGTGAAGGTTTCCATCATATGTTGAACTCAGGGTTTCATCACAAGACACTTTCTGTGAGCTTTTCCCACAGCAAGACCGCTCCCTCTCATCCTGTCCTCTTCCTAAGGATAGCCTTGAAACCTCTTTCCTACAACCCATGCCTCAGTACCTCTTTACCACAAAAACATGCTGAATCTGATCTCTTAGAATAAACCAGGTTTCCACTGTCTCCCCTCTCCCTTTCACATGATGATTTTCTCTTTATCCAAGAGTCTTTTCTTCATACACTTAAATCATACCCTCTCTCTTTCTTGTCAACATGCTGTAGGGTCCAATGTGCACCTACATACACCCTAGCCTTGCTCTATGATGACAATCTTTTTGTATTGATGTTATCACTTTTTTCTTATCTCTTTTACAAGAACATAGCACATTGGTTAAAACAAGGTGATCTTTGCATTGTTCACATTGTACCTACAGGTTATAGACCTGGTCCTGACAAGTATGAGGTGTTTAGGAAGTGATGGGGATGGAAAGACCTTTGGAAAGTAGGTTATATTACTCATTCACAGGGGGTGCTATTTTTCTGATTCTGTCCTGACTTTTCATGGTCTTTGGTTCCTAGATGTCAGATTCAGGGTTCTGAATCTGTCATCTAGGAGTTTTTGACCAATATGAAAAAACACAACCTGGAACAAATCTTCCTGTCAATGATTATAACTTTGCAGAATTGAAGATGAGGAAATATTTTGTAGACTAGTTTCTAAGATATCAATCAGAAACTAAATTTTTAGCTGCATCAACAGGCTAAATCACTTAATTTGGACAAAGACTGTGTTCTCCACAGCAAAGTCCCATTACTAGTCAGACAGTGGGTTTTTTCTCTTAGTTTATTTTTTTCAGCAATTTTACTAGTACATAATAGTGGTATAGGGAGTTTAGTTGTAACATTTCCATGTATGCCCCCAGTGTGGTTCATTCTTTCCATCAGTCACTTTTTTTCAACTCTCTCTTCTTATAATAACATTGACATGTTTCCATTTTCCATATTCATACACTTAGAAAATACAACCATATTCCCCCTCCTTTACCCTCTTCATTTACTCTACCTCTCCCACTAGTATTTTGTGCTCAAAATGACTTCTTTTATATTACTGCCATTCTTCTTTTGTCTGTTCATATTTCATGTGATTTGCCTGATCCCTTAAAATTTCAGAATCTCAGTAAGGTTGGGACTGTTTAGTACTTGGAGAAAAGTCAGTAGGTTTCTTATGACTACTTCATTGTGCTCCTGGTCCAAAACATGCATGAACAATCTGTAGCCCAAAATGTTAATGGAGCTCTTGTTCCTTAACCTGTATGTGAAAATCTTGTGATAATGCCTGAGAACCTAATCCTTTGCCTTACATGAGAATGTGGCTCCCAGTAGACAGCTGCTGCTACCAGAATAAATACCTACTCTCGGCATTGCTGATGATTCCAGTGAGGAGATTCTGGCTGTATGAGCAAGCGACTAAGACAATAGAGATGTCTGAGTCACCTCCCACTGGACTCAGGATCACAAGCATCTGAAGAAAAACATCATTCTTGAGGTGGTTCAATTCATACACAGAGTAACCCTATCCTTAATTATGCTTGCCTGAAAGCCAGCTTCCATTCGTCTGTGCAGTAAATGATAAGATTAGATGGAGAGGAACCCAAACCATGTTGTAGAATCCTATATAGCTCTGCATCCTGAGGGCCCACAAATGGGTCTAGGTTCACAATAACCTCTTATCTCTCCAGCATCTCCAGTGAGGTGGACATGTGGCCTGGGGGGTTGTGATTTCTAAGAAATTGTAAAAAAAATTCCCTAGCTCAGCATTTGCAGAAAACTGAGAACTCCAGACCAAGATATTCTTGACTCCAACAGCATGTAATAAAAAGTCCCTGAGAAAGAGATCACAGTGCCCCAGCCACCAAAGATCCAGAAACATGCATGAATTGTTTTCTCCACCCTTCCCTTCTGAATAGGATGGAGGTGGGTGGTGTATAGGTGTGGTAAAGCATATCCTCATGCCTCTACACACACTGGTTCCACTTGAACTCACATTCATCACTGAATTGTACAAAGCTTATATGAGTAAAGTGTAAGAACATTTTTCCATGTGGTATTTTTGGGAGAGAAGGAGTTGACCTAGACATTGTGAGAATCTAGAGGGATTGTGGCTAGGACAGTAAAAAGCAGGCCAAGGAAATTGACCATGGTTTTCATGTGACCTTTTCCAAGACACACAGGGTCAGCCCCACTTTCTGTTTCAAACCCAGTTCTTAATTTGGAATGTCCTTGTTTGCTCTTGACCCTCTCTGGATCTGCTCCTTAAGTATCACAGTAAGGGTAACCATGTCATACTGTCCCTTTTATATCACATCTGGCCCTGACTCTATCTTTTCACCTCCTCCATAGAACATGTGTTGTGCAGTTCAGTTTGCTTTTTCGATAATACTGGACTCATTCTCCTTGCAGAAGCTGCTGCAGGAAGCCCCAATTACAGAGAGCTGAGCCACTTTACAGGGCAGCTCGGCATGGGTCATTGAATGTTCAACTCCTTTTTTGCTTTTCTGCCAGAGTCTGACCAAACTGGAACAATTCCTTTTATAGTTCTGAAACCAAATGTCCTTAAGTATCAAATTTCATTGTCGTAATCAATTCCTGGGAGGCATATTCTGAGATATTGTCCACAAAATGCACGATGGATATTTTTTTCAATATCCCCAAATTAATTCTGTACCTGTTAAATAATAATCCTCTTTCTCACCTTCCTTAATTTATACCTAGTGTTGAATGGGATTTATAAACTAAATATGACATGGGCACCCTGAGCTTTTGGAGTCTGTCACTTTGTGAGAGAGCATCAGGGAGCATCTCCCCTGGTGAATTTGCAGGATGCAGTTGAACAGGTCAGAGTATTGTGCTACACTATCCTTCTTCTATCCCTAAAGAAACTATGCTGTATTTCAACATCAGCACAACCTGTAAATAATCAGACTGTGGCAAATTTTGGCATTGCATTAGTGAAGGCAAGAAGGTTGTGTATCAAAGAGTCACATCTTTTGTTTTATTTTGTTTTTGTACTGGAGTTTCAATTCAGGACCTTACATTTGCTAGGCAAGCACTCTATCACTGGAACCATGCCTTCAGACCATTTTTTGCTTTACTTATTTTTCAGATTTGGGCTGGTATTCAGCCCAAACTGGCCTCAGTATCAATATTTGTATCTATCCCTCTGATGTAGCTGAGAGTGAAGAAGTGCTCCATCAAAACTGATTTGTTTGTTCACATGGGTTCTAACTAATATTTTTCTTGGGGTGGCCTTAAATTGTGATCCTTCAGTTGTGGCTTTCTGATCTCCTCCTCCCCACTAACTGGGACTGCAGGCATGAGCCACATTGCCTAGCCCAAGATTCACCTCCATCGTGTACCTCAGTGCTTTACAGATTCAAACTTTTCAGAGGTCCAAGAAATTATGTTGATTTCCTACAGTATTAGAAGAAAAATGATAGAATTCAATAGAGACTATATTTATCACTGTATTTATAGAGTCAGAAAACTAATTTTAGGATTCATCTGTTATAGCACAAGAGCATTAAGGCAGATGTGACCATGGGTCATTAAGTTCCTGACATTTTGGACTCATTAGAACACTTCAGGCCAGCACAGATGGTTCTCAAAGAAAGTTTTCAACATGAAGTAATCCAGATGTGATAGATGTAGACTGTGTGATGCCATTTATAAATCTTAGGCAATGAAGCAATAAACTGAGAGTGAGTAGTACTTGCTGTATTCACACTATTGTGAGAAAAGAAAGGTTTTTTTTTCTCACTTCCCCATGAGTCTGGAGCACTGTGGGAGCACCAAGGCTGTTATCATAGGACTGACAGTAATAATCAGCCTCATCCTCAGAGTGGAGCCCAGCAACGGTCAGGGTGGCTGAGTTGCCAGACTTGGAGAATGAGAAGTGATCAGAGATCCCAGAGGGTATCTTGCTATCATCACAGATGAGTTTGGGAGATGTTTCTGGGAGCTGTTGGTACCAGTGTACATAATAACCACCAATGTTGCTGCTACTTCCACTGCATAAGATGGAGATGCTCTGTCCAAGGTTTCCAGACACTGAGGGTCTTTGGGTCAACACAGACTGTCCCCAAGAGGCTAGAGGTTGGAAAAAATGAGAGCCATTGTAGAGTCTAAATGGAGGGAATAGAAGAACTCCATAGTTTTCCCAGGCCCTTGCTGTCTCCTCTATCTACTTACCTGTGCAGTAAGTAAAGAGAGCAAAAAGGACAGAGGACCAGGCCATGGTAAAAGTCTTACACGAGTCCAATCTTGGTGCCCCCTTGCTGAGCAATATTTCTCTCATGTTTCTCCCTTGCCCTCTTTATACTATGACAGGGGGAGGGTTCACTCATGGAAATACTGTTCTTCTAGTTTTCTGATCACCCCTTGGACCTGATTCAGGCTGTTTTGCCTGAGGATGTCACATGGGCAAGAGTGGTGCTGGATAGTCAGAAGTATTGAGGTAGGTCAAAGCTGTGAGCCCTGAGCAGAGGTAGGGTCAGGTGGTTCCTCCTAGCTCTCACCACCCCCGATTCTATAAATATGAACCTCAAGTGATCCCTGGTGTTCAGATCCATGCATATCACCGTGATATATCAAGAAGTCCCTCAGAGATAATCTTGTTTATTCAGTGCCCTGTTCATAGCTCCTACCTTAATGCTATGACATGTGAGAGGGTGTTGTGAGTTCCCAATTGCCTCAAACAAGCACACATACTGAGAGCAATATTCTTAGAGAATATAGTCACCTTACTGCTCATTGACAGGACTGAAATTTTGTCTGTTGTATAATTTCCTCTCAGATTACTATCAAGAAGAACACAGGGGATATCAGCCAGTTCTCCTGCAACACATAAATTTTCTCTTAAGAGTCCTTTCCACCTGGACAGTGAATACTGCATTTTAAAATTGGTCTTTATCCAAGCTTTATGATCATATTATTTTTCTCATAATATGCCAAATGAAAATATCTGTTATACTTAATATTATATAGTAGATAGGATTCACTTTCTTGTTTACAAAACTATAAATATAAGATTATAATCTTAACTTTTTATAGCTTATCCACTGAATTGCAGTAGAGCAACTCTTATGGTACATGTATGAATGATGTACAGTGAATTTTCTTTAAGCTCAGAGATTTTTATTGGATATTAGAGTATTTTCCAATATATAGCACACATTTTCTTTAGTTTACCTTAGTTTCACTAGAGATCCCTTCTATTATGAGAGAAAATGCTGAAGATGAATATTGGGGCTATTAGCTTACTGAGGCTGGAAAACAGATTAGAAACTCAGCGTGGTGTAGTATTTGGAAAAAGGTGTGGCTGTATGCCACAGATATTACACATTATTGAATAATGAGTGGTATCAAAGCTGAGAAGGATATTATACTTTTGTAAATCTTGGTAAGTCCAATCAGGACTGCCAATAGGTGGACTTAAGCCTGATAATACTTAATCACCATTGGCTAAGAGTCAGGTTCTCTCTTTCACAAACTCCCAGCATGATGAGGAGGTGACTGAGACTGCAACTACATGAATAATATCCCAGTGTTGGAGGATCACTCATCAGAGAACCAGAGATGAAGTGAGTAGTTGTGTTGTGATGAGAGAGAAAGGAAGCACCTTGTGTAGGGTGTAGCCAGTGAAGAGGTGTTTGTGCTGAGTTATTTGGTTTCATCTTCACTTAAGGAAAGAAGAATTGATAAGTGGCCCTGGGGATGTTGGGAGCTGAGCCACTGGTTTACATTCTGAGAGTTCTCATTCCTTCCTTCAAATGGTAATAGGAGGTTTCATGAGTATTTTTCTATGTTATTCTCCTCCTGAGCCTATTGACTTTCAAGCAATTTGTCCTAGGTGAGTTCCAGTGTTCCTAGAACTGAGACTGATGTTAGAGATGACATTTTTAGATAAAGGATATGTTAATCATGTCACATAGTTTCTCCAGTTGTAATTAGATAGGAAACATTACTGTGTGTTCCTTGAGCAAGGTTTTAGACTGTTGTCAACATTTTAATCATAGCAAGGAGATCTAGGTCTGAACCCAGCACCACTGTCAATGAACTCTTCCCCTAGGACGTTAGCTCACTAAGACCCCATCTAGTTCCAAAAGCCAGCCATGAACCCTCTTTCTCTTTCTCAGCTTTCAGTGCAGACTTCCCCCAAAAGTCTGTTGAATCTGCCCTATTCAGGTAGCCTAGCTTGTCACACTGCTTTCATCTCCCCTTCTGCTTTGTTCATCTTCAGTGCAGCAGCTGAACTTTCCTTCAAAAACTTAAAACAGATTCTGTCTTTCTTATAAAACCTCCAAAGATTCCTCTGCCCACACTCATTCTGTCCTGGCACATCATTTTCTCAATATCAGGTCATTCTCACCTTGGCATCTAGGATTGTTTGATCACAATGAGAAAAATCATCATGTGAGGCTAAAAAGGAGTGTATTTGGGTTCCAATCTGGGGGGGATGAGGCAGGACACGTTCCCTGTAGTGTGCCCCAAACTCTGACTTTTGATAAAAAAATAACTTTATCCGTTATCTTCTCCAAGATATGGGTGCTGCAGAAGAAAGCAAAATCACTGAAAAGCAGGTTTTGTCTGACTTTCTCAGTGTCATTGAACACTGTGTGAGCAAAGATCCTTTCCCAAGTACTGGTGTATTAATCAGCCTATAGCCACAAGATAGTGAGGGAGGCTGTGCTAACTGTCCTGGAATATGAAAACTCTACTCATCGTCCTTCAGGGTCTAGTCCTAGTATGATATGGAGGAAATTGTGTCATTACTAGAAAGTTGCTGCTACCAGGGCTCATCCCTATTCCCAGCAATGCTGCTGCTTCCAGTAAAGGAGATTGTGACTCTGCTCCACAGGCCAGTATGCTAAAGATGATTGAGTCAGCACAGACAGAGCCCATAAATGTGAACGTCAGGGGAAAACAGAATTAAAGAGATGACTTAGTTGAGAGAAACATGTTTATTGTAAGCTCTACTTTCATCCTCATAACCAAAACAAGTTTTCAGTCATATATGCAGTGAATAGAAAGAAGACAAAGAAGGAATCCCATCACTGGAAGATTCTATATAGCTCTACATCCTGAGGATCCTCACCTGGGACTGAGCTTCCCAAGTCTCTCTTTGTCACAACACCAATGAGAGGTCAGAAAGGAGCTCATCATACAAACCAGAATCTAACATGAATGTAGAAGCTCAATTATGGCTCTGGAATATGAGACATGCTTGGAAAACTGATTCTGAGTGCAAGGTCCCTGGTGATGGGCTGTTTTATATTTTCCAAGATCCTGGAAGAACATACCTTCCAGGCTCAAGTGAGTAAGCGATAGATGGTTCCAGGTGAAAGTCATGTGGTGTCTTTTAGGTGGGATCTGTATCACAGATGCCTAGTGACAGTGCACAGTTGCCTTCCACCCAGACATGCACGTTTTAGCTTCTGCACTTTCTACTTTACTTTTATAAAAGAATGGATGTAGCTGGGTGCCAATGAATTATGCCTTAATCCTAGCTACTCAGGAGACAGAGGTCAGGAGAATTGCAGTTCAAAGCCAGCCTAGGCATAATAGTTTGAGACACCCTATCTCAAATAAGGCCTTCACCAAAAAGAGCTTGTGGAGTAGCTCAAGGTGTAAGCCCTGAATTCAAACCTCAGTTCACAAAAAACAAAAAGGAATGGATGTAGGCAATGCCCATGCATAATTTAGCCTCTTGTCTCTACACAACCATATCCTACCTTGACTCACCGGTTCTTCACTGGACTGTGACATCCATGTGTGAGCACAGACTGAGAAGCTGTTTTGGTGTTTTGGGAAAGACATTGGGACAACGGCAGTCACCTAGTCCCACCTCCCCAAGAATCTCAGAAGGAGAGGCTGGAACAGTGAACATGGGCAGAGGACACTGACATGGTTAGTCGTATTATCTTCCCCATGATTCTCAGGGTAGCTCCATGCCCATGTACATTCTAGTTCCTAGCACATCATGTTTTGTCTGCTCTCTAAGCCCTGTGTCCTTTCCTGGATGTTGCAACTTTCAGTCTCCTCTTTATGTTTCTCCCCTATTTTGCTGGGTCCTCTGGCCTTTTCTAAAGATCATTCATTACGTAATTCAAATTGCCTCTTTGCATAATCCTGGTAACTTAGTCATTCTTTCGATGACTTTACAGAAGGCACACATTGCACGGAACTGAGCTGCTGGGCATGATATCTCTCCCTTGGATCCCCTGAATGAGGTTCTTTTTTGCTTCTCTTCCATTCCTGACCTGGGCCAGGCATGGACAATCCCTTTTAGAGTACTGAACCTTAATATCCTTAAGTATCAAATTTTACTTTCACACAATTACTCAGAGAAAAATCTTGAAATATTACTGAGGATGGCTTACTCAGCAGAGATGGTGCCAAAGATAATGGAAGTGGGAAATGTACAAATATATTGATTTGGGGAATTCCCAGGAGAAGAAAGCAGAGCCTCATGTTCTTTCCAGGCCCTACCCATACTCCATATCTAGGCCCCTGTGCACTAATTAAGGAGCATGATTAACAGAGGGGGATAGGTGGAGGTCAACCCTGAGTCCTGCTTTCTGTGACCCAGATTTGAGAGTATATCCCTTACCCTCTTCATTCTCTGAGAGTGTGTTTGTCCATTTGTACAAATGAGGTTCCTTAAGCATTTTGCTCACACTCTGGGCCCTGATCAGGTCCCTGTTCCCAAAGATATCACAGTGCTATAGCTATAGAAGGGTGTGGTTGGGTGGGGATAGTGGTAAAGAGATTTCTAGTTGTGATCCCTGAGCACATGTCATCAGGAAGGATCATGTGGCTCATTTCAGCTCTCATCACCTCCAGCACCTTCAATAATGGACTCCATGAGGTGTTCAAGCACATGCACTTGATCATGTCACATGGTGAGCACAGGCACTCAAGCCAGCCCTGCTTTCTTACTGATATCTAAAGGGACATGGAAGTCTCTCTGTGGTCTCCCTCTTACCTCATGTCTTCATCTTTATGCTGTTCTTATATTGCTCTGATGGGGAATATCTCTACAACCAACTTTAATGTTTATTGGCCAGGACTCATGAGGTCTCTATTGTGAAAATTTCTCTCTGATCAGGATGAAGGTGAGAAACATGAAGGTTTTGTTGTTATTAAACATGAACGATATCAGCCAGTGTTTCTGAAACTCTGAAATTTATTTTAAAAGCCTTTCCAACCTGGAAAATGATAGTATATTTATACATT